ATTTTGTTTTGTTTTCGTGAAGTTCTGCGTATGATTCCTGCACACCTGTTTTATCTGAGCTAGTGTAGCTGGATTTTACTTCTTTGCAATTTGTTTTGAACACAATTCTATCTGACGTTAGAGACATTAAATGAAGGTATAGGAATATGCTGTGAGTTGTATGTGTTGCTCTTTACTAAGCCCTCACGGTAGATGTCTGAATTAGAGCTACTGGTCTTCTTCACAACCCACAGATATTTGCAAGTAAATTTTCTTACTGTTTAATTTCTCTCTAGTGTTCTAAATATTTGCTGCCTTGCTTTCATTTCATTTATGAGTTTTCCCAATCCCTTTCCAAGTTTTTTGTTTCTTTGTTTTTACCAGTTATTTAGAAAATGGGTTAAATCCTATTACTCTTTCACCAAAACTTAACTCTGGTACTTTTTCTCTTATATTTTCAAGTGAATTCATATGTATAATAAATTGGCTCTTGGATAGTCCTCGCTCTTGGAAAGTTCTTCCTTCAGGGAAAGGCTTCCTTCATTTTATGCCCATCTGTCTGTTATTGTTTGTGCACATTGTAATACTTACCTCTAAAACAGTTTTTATTTATTATCCTATTTAAGTCATTATTCTTGGATGCTGGGATGGTCAGAGTAAGTCCATGGTTGCAGGTATGTCGTCAGCAGACTTTTTCTATTAAAGGTCATGTGGGCTTTGTGGGCCAAAAGGTCTTTGTTCCAACTACTCATTGCTGATACTGTAGCTGAAAGCAGTCATAGACAGTAGGTGAGCAAGTGGGTATGCCTGTGTTCACACTTTATCTACACAGACTCTAGGCCAGATTTAGCTCAGACCCTTGCTCCTCAGTGCTGTTTCAAGTCCTCCACCCCCATGCTCCTCATGTCAGTAGATTTTATCATCTGCTGTCTCTTGTTGTAGTCCCCTCATTCATTTTAGATTTCAGCGCCTTACACAATGCTTTTTTTCCAACTAGTGTTAATCATTTCTGGCAATCCCTGTATCCACATAGGTAATCCACGTGGCTTCCTGAATTCCTTAACCTTTTATCTCCAGTGATCCTTCATCTCATGTTAGACCTTTTATATATCAATAACTATGTCACCTCTCAGATGTGAATTTCAAGCATCCGTTTTCTGACCACCACTGATCCTCTCCTCCCAGCTCATTCCATCTAATACCTAACTCCAACAATTTTGAAACAGCCATCAGGACCTCCACTTCACTGATCTCCATTATTGTAAACCTCTTTGTTGTCCATCACCCTCATCATATTATAAACCTCTTTGTAGTCCCTCACCCTAACCAGCTTAGGTTCCATGGTCTGTTAGTATAATCACTCCCATCATTTTCTGCCTAATTAAAGCCAACATTCTACCTACTTGGTACCAAACACTATTCTTATGAGTTTCACTTTAAATAGTCATTGCCACCAGTCCTCAGTGCTACCTGCAGTCTTAGTAGATTCAGTTTCCCCTTCTTCAAACCTTGAAAAACCTTTCCTTTTCAGTTGGTCTCTTATTTTACTAACAAACAAAACAAAGCAAACAGAAAAGAAACATTATATTCCCCATCAGCAAATCTACAAGCCCGAAAGAGATCGACCTTAGTACAAGGGTGGGAGCATAAGCCAACTTTTAGGGACTAAAATGTGAGCAGGTCACAAGGAGATAGATGTTTTCCCAGGTATGTCACTGGAACACTGGCTCTGTTAAATGAATGTTACCCAGTAATAGGTTTGCTGGCTAAATTTGGGAAATGCTGTATATATATAGTTTGAAGAACCTTTTGTAAATATCTAGTCTTTGATATTCTGATACAGAGGCAAGGGGAGATGAAAATTACAGGTAGAAAGGAAGTTTCTATCTACTGGCCTAGATTTTATGAAACATTGGTTTTCAAACTTTAGCCTACTTCAGAATCACCTGGAGGGCTTGATAAAACAGATTGCTGGGCACCATCTAAAGATACTGATTTCATAGGTGTTGGGTGGCTCCTGAAAATTTGCATTTCCAAGAAATTCTTAGATAACAATGCTGCTTGTTCAGGGAATTGGAGAATCACATTTTGAGAGCCACTTCAGTTGAATAAGAGTTCATTCAACTGCCAGGAGTGCCAGGAATTGTTAGGATTTTGAGCATTGTAGGAAATAGCTGTTGTTGAGTAACATAGTAAGAAATAAGAGCTGATTAGTAACGTTACTGAACTTTGATAGTGAGATCACATGAATTTATAGTGGACCAAAGCAACTAGTTTTAATGACTTTCTCTAGTAGTTTGACCTATCAGCAGGAGCAGAACCACTAGCAGTTAGTACAGAATTTTGAGAGAATCCTACAGGCTGCTCATGTCAAATATCTATGAAGTTTACCTTCAAGTGCTCCATATTTGCTTTGTATTATCATTATGAGTTGCCAAGATGGCAGCTTTATGATTTGTCTGCCTCAGCCCATCTCCTTCATTTTATTTATTTATTTGTGCGCTTATGATTTATTATTCATTTATTATTTTTAGTTTAAAAAATTGTGTATGGTGGTTTGTAGGGGGTTTGTAATGCAAAAACTAATGTCATGAAGTATCTGGAACTAATTCTATCCATTTCAATTAATAGTTATATGGTTTGAAACAAATGACTATCATGTCTCTATTTTTCTCATTTTGGAAATTTTTAAATAGAAGAATTAAAAACTTCCAGTTCTCCCTTTATGAATGTCATAAGCCTCAGAATCCTTAAAAATTACATTTTGGGAGAATCGTTAGTTAGGTTTCTGCCTAAGTAGAGTGCCATGCAATTCTTTTTAAGTAGCTCAATATTTTTTGGACAGGCTGGGCCTCTTCAAGGTTTATGGTATTTCTGGCAAGTTGCATTACCATTCCTGGGTGTCTGTACTTCTCAGGCTTTGCCACTGAAATGTTTTTATAATGGGATTGTGTCTTCACCTAGGCCTTACATGTGTCACTGTTACTGCCTTAATGACTTAATAGTATCTGTACCGAGCCTGGAATAGGAAGGAAACTCAAGAGGTATTCATTTAAAACATGCTTGGGGGCATGATAGGAGAGGAGAAGGGGAAGTCCTTTTTCCTGTTCTTTCTCTTATTTCTCCCTTATCCAGTTCAGCGAGTAGATAAGATATTTGACAAATGTTTGTCAGGCTTTTTGAAACCAGATACTATGTTCTTTTCACAGTGTCATAGTTGGATACTCAAGAATAATGTAATTTTGGAAACTTGTGGGCTTGTTTTTTATAGCTTTATTGAGGAATAATTACAGTAATTTGTGCATATTTAAAATGTACAGTTTAAGGAGTTTTGACTTATATATGCACTGTGAATAACATGATAATGTACATTTTCATCATCCCAAAGTGTTTCCTTGTGCCCCTTTTGCAGTGACTCCACTGATCTGCTTTTTGTCACTACAGATAAGTTTACATTTTCTAAAATTTTAAGTGAATGCAATCATACAGTATATGTTTGGATTTTTGCTTTTTTGGTTTTATTTCTCAGCATAATTGTCTTGAGCTTTGTTCATGTAATTTCTTGTTATCAGTGGTTTGTTGTTTTTTGTTCTGATTTCTCAGCATAATTGTCTTGAGGTTTATTCATGTTATTTCTTGTATCAATAGTTTGTTCTTTTAATTGCTTAATAGTATCTTACTGTGGATATTCTTCAATTTGCTTATCTCTTCACCTATTTGTGGACATTTGGGTTATTTCTAGTTTGAGGTTATTATCAGTAAAGCTGCTATGAATATTTGTGTACAAATCTGAGTGTGGACATCTGCCTTTATTTTTCTTGGGCAAATGGCTAGGCCATATGCTAGGTGTATGTTTAACTTTTAAGCAACTGCCAAACTATTTTCCAAAGTGGTTGTACTATTTTACATTCTCAAGAGTTCCATTCGTTCCACATTTTCACCGATATATGGTATGGTCACTTTATTTTTACCTTTTCTATGGATATCTATGTTGTGAGGTCTCAGTGTCATTTTAATTCGCATTTTCTACGTGACTCATGATGTTGAGCTGCTTATTTGCTATTTGTATATCTCCTTTGGTGACGTGTCTGTTCAAATATTTTGACCTCTCTTTAAGAAAGTGTTGGGTTTCTGTCTTTTTTATAATTGAGTTTATATTCTGGATTCAGGTTCTTTCAAGTTCTTACACGTTTTGGAAATACTTTTATCAGTAGGTGGCTTGCCTTTTCATTTTTTTCTTCTAAGGTTTTTGAAGAGCAAACAGTTTTTAATTTTAATGAAATCCACTTTATCAGTTTTTTTCTTTATAGTTTTGTGTACTTTGTGTCCTATTTGAGTTCTGCATAATTTCATTACTCTTGATTTTTCTATAAAGTGAAATATCTCAGATTCTCATTTTTTAGCTATTCAGCAAAAAAAGCATAGGTGGTGACTGTAAAGCTAGAGTGGTATCTGCCTTGTATTTGTGTTTATTATGTTATACTTTAAAGCAGATTGTTTATGATTCTACTATTTTTTGTTCTTTTTGGTTGATGTTTTTCTTTTTTTTTGGTGGCTGGCCAGTATGGGGATTCCCACCCATGACCTTGGTGTTATAAGGCTGCATTGTAACCAGCTGAGCTAACCAGGCAGCCCTTTGTTTGAGTTTTAATTTTGCTACTGGTCCAGTTCTTCTGTTACATGGTTAAGGTAACTGAGGTTTATCAGACTACATGACCTCACTAATGGTTTACAGTTTATGATCATGCTAAGACCAAAGAAAACCTCAGGTCCTCTCAAATCCCTCATTTCCCTATGAGTTGCTCTTCTTCATGATTCTGTTGCTAAAATTTTATTGCATACTGCAACATATTAAAATAAATTTTGTTCCTTCATTTCTGATTGTAATAAATATCCTCATTGAAAACAGTATTAGTAAAATTATCAAGTAGGTTAGTTTTCTGAATCATAATTTCCCCTTAAAATTACATTAAGCGAAGATGTTGAATTTAACAAATTTTTTTTTTTAATTCTTTCCAAAGGTCTGTAAACAGATTTGGCTAGGATTATTTGATGATAGATCTTCAGCAATTCCAGACTTCAGGGATCCACAAAAAGTGAAAGAGTTTCTACAAGAAAAATATGAAAAGAAAAGATGGTGAGTGAATAGTTTGTATTTAGAGTAAAGCCTCCCAAATTCATATGAATTATGGGTAAGGATAGTCAGACATGATGAAGGAAGGCAGGCAGGAAGGAACGAAGAAAATAAATAAATAAATAAGTAGGTAGATAGGTAGATACTCATTATCTTTTGGCTTTTTATTGAATTTGGTTTCCAAAAGCCTTTACTTCTACTTTGTCTTAACTCATTTGTGCCTAGCAGCAGCCTTTTCATTATAATTACCAGGCCGCCTATCCTCTTCAGAAACTTAGGGATCCTTTCTTCTAATCCTTCCCTAGCCCTGATAGCTTCTCTAGACATATTTAGTCTTACAAAGCCTTCTTTCTTAAAATCTTTATTCATTTAGCAAGTAGCCTATCCTCTTCAGAAACTTAGGGATCCTTTCTTCTAATCCTTCCCTAGCCCTGATAGCTTCCTCTAGACATATTTAGTCTTACAAAGCCTTCTTTCTTAAAATCTTTATTCATTTAGCAAGTATTTATTGAGTATTATCTTTACAAACTGGCACTATGGTAAAACTCTTGTCGTAATCCATCCACTTAATTGCATCTTGCAGTAAGTTTTTGCTCAAAATATCCCTTATTCTTATCCGAGAAATCAGTTTACCATCTGGTTAAAAAGGTAGTGTTCATACTCATACTCCCCTAATTAAAGCCATTAGATGTTAATTTCTGAAAAAGGTTGTGTCTATAGTTAGTAAGCCCCTTAAATCAGAGCAGGGGCTATAGCTAATCTTCAGTTACTCAGGGGCTCTTTATTTTTAGCTATATGAGCATAATTTAAGTGTGAAACTGACCACATACTGAGCTAAGTTGACTAAGACTCATTGATGTATGAACTCTTTTGGTTGTTTCTTTATCAGTATTGAACAAACGTACCTTTCCTTCTTGCGAGGTTAAGATGGGGGAGAGAGTCACCAATAGGAGGAATAGATAATGAGGAAATAAACGGCCCTCTTGTTTCCCTGAGGAAGTATGTTTTAACCCAGAGAATGATATATTCAGAGCCTGTTTTGGTCCTGAGAGACCACTTGCTGTGGTTTAAGGTGGAGAGGTCTTTACCTTCATTCAGTGAGTATATTAGCTGCGACTTGTACATTTGGTCAAAATTTGTGTTCTTACCATTCTCTAAAATGAACTGCTTTTTTGCGAGGCAGGATTAGCCAGGGCTATATTCAGCTGTACTAGATACATTAGGTATGAATATAGATAAATATATGGCAGTAAAATTTTAGTTCAGGAAAGAAGAAAATATTAGAAGGTAGGGTTATCAGAAGGTAAAAATATGGTGGCATAAATGATTCTTTTAAAATGAAAGGTATGGTTATTATTTTATCATGATAGTAAAAATATGGTGGCATAAATGATTCTTTTAAAATGAAAGGTATGGTTATTATTTTATCATAATTCTCAATTTCCTAGTCCTTCCACCCTGTGTGGGTAAGTCTGTTCTCCTTTCATAGCTGTAACCCAATTTTTGGTTTGCTCAGCAGTGTTACTTTTAACAACTTAGAAAGTCAGTTTGGTTAGGTCTTAGCTGGGATTTTAGGTCGGTTATCTTTAGCTATAAAGAGAAAAGTGAGTGTGAATAATAGTTGATAGAATTAAAACCGTAGATTCATCCCTGGATTTATAACAATAATATCCATTCAGAGCATAACACAAATAATTGGAAACCTCAAATAACTATAGTTCGTGTTATTTTTTCTTTTCTGAGAAACAGAATAGTAATAAGAAGAGTAATACAAATACAAACGTTAAGTGGTGGGTGGAAAGAGAGGGTGACCATGATTCAGGAGGGCCAGGACCTATACATTTTTAACCCATGGTCCTGCACACCTGCAACATGTAACTAGAGAAATGGGTTTTTAACATGGTATAAGCACTATTCAAATGCAGTTTCCCTCAAAATACTCACTGTAGAAACTGCACTTAAAACAGTGATGCTGTTGTTATCCAAAGGGATTTTGAGGTTGTTCTTTTTACCAGTTCCCAAAATGACATTTTATGTTATATAAGATGAGCTTTTTGAACCAAAAGCTGTTATCTGATTTTATCCTTCATAAGACTTGGCTTTACTCAAGAATTTATATTATTAGCGGTATCCTAAATTATGGGAAAGTGTAACTTCTTGTATTCATTCTCATATCTCTTGTCATCTCTCCTATTTACTGAAAAAAAGCAATTTTATTGTTTGTGATTATTATATAGTTTGTTAATAGGTAACACATATAGTTAACACCTATACGAAGAACTGTTCTAAATGCTTTTACAAATGTTCACATGTTCATACCTCACAGCAACCTTATCTCCATTTTATAGTTGGAAAACTGGAAGCACAAAGAGTTGAAACAGTTTGCCCAAGGTTTCATAGCCACTGAGCGGTAGAGCTATTTGAACTCCATCTCTGGAATAGGTGGTTTTAACTAGTCTTAACCATTCTGTTTTCCTACTTCTCCCATCTACTTACTTGATGTATGGTGGGTGGTGAGGAGGGTGGGACAGAACCCAGAATTACAGAGAGCAATAACTCACATAATGCCACCCCTAGAGATTAGCATTGCTGATGTTTGGGCATTATATTCTTACTGCCTCTCTTTCCTTCCTTCACTTCCCTTCTCCCATGAATCCTGTATTTACATGACTAGGTTCAAACCTGAAAGACTATAAAGGCTTACAGGCATCTTTCCATGTCAAAGCAGAATAGTTATGTGGTCCTGTACAGATTTTAGCATTATCCCTTTAAATACTTTACTCCTGATGGACATTTGATTTGTTTCCCAGTTTTATGAAATTTTTATAAAGAGTGTGTTCATATACATGTATCTTCTATGTACACTTATCAAATTAATTCCTAAGTATAAGTTTCTGTAAGTCACTTATCCTAGGGCACAGAGCATACCTATTTATATATTTCAGTGGCTGGCAGTAGAAAATTTGTAATGTTCACACTCAGATCAAAGGTGAATAATAACTTAATTTCCATTTCTATCAGGTTATAAGTGTTTTCATATCTATGTCTCCTTTTGTACTGCTTCTGCCCATTTTAAAATGGTGTTGTTGATCTTATTCTTAAAGAATAGGCCTTCATAGTTTAGACTATTAACTGTAATATAATAAATGTTTCCCTACCTTCTCATCTGTCTCCGAAGATTATTTATGATCTTACCATATTTTCATTTTTAAAAATTAAAGTATCATGATGATTAACTGTACATCCTCTGTTTAAAAAAAATAATTTTGTTATCTTAGAAAAGCCATAAGTAAATAATTGAAAGATATTTTGTGGTTAGTCTTTCTTACTCTTTTCTCTGAGTATTTAAATTAAGTGTAGACTTAAGCTGTCAGTTCCGAGAGTGTTTTGAAGGAAGACTAATGTTGTACAAAATAAGAATTGAGCTTATCATTTTTTAATGTAGGATTCCCTGCATTTTTCTTAGTTAACTGCCTTTTCTAATTTTTACATGTTTTAGGTATGTCCCACCAGAACAAGCCAAAGTGGTGGCATCAGTTCATGCATCTATTTCAGGGTCCTCTGCCAGCAGCACAAGCAGCACACCTGAGGTCAAACCACTGAAATCCCTTTTAGGAGATTCTGCACCAGCACTTCACTTAAATAAGGGCACACCTAGTCAGGTGAGTAATCTTTAAGTCTTTGTAGGGACTTCCACTTAAAGAGAATTGAGTGTCAGGAATTTGAGAATTCTTTAAGACGGCAGCATAATCTTGTATGCCAGTAGCATTATGTCTTAGTGGTTTCTAATACCTTAAAAGATTATTGGTTGAATGGTTGGAATGTGTGTTTTTGTTCTTTTTGTTATTGCTAATATGAGTTTCTTTGACTTCTCTGTAGCTTGTAGCTTTGCATAAGTATACAGTAACATTGCTATACCTGTGTATCATATGGTATACAGTTAGTAAAACATGAATCTATGGTGACCATCAGAATTAGAACAGTATAGATAGCCTCTGTGATATACTTTTACAGGAAGGGATTTCTTAAGCAATAGAATTTTTCCACATACCTGATTGTGAGGCATGTTCATCATTGAAACAGGTTGCTTTGCGTCATACCTTATTCTAAAAGCTGAACAGACTGAAGTTTGTACTTCTGTACTTTATTATGGTTGATGGAGCTGGGACAGATCTGTTACTCAGTGGCATTGCAACCTCTGTCCTATACAAGAATAGTTCTTAGGCATAATATTATGGATTAAATCCTACTCTTTTTAGTAATGCATACTAGGGCATCTGAATAAATTGCTCTGTTTTCACAAAAAGTTTGCATGAAAAAGTGAAGGGAGGGGTAAAGTCAGTATAGTCATGTGCTACATAACAGCATTCCAGTCAACGACAGACTGCATATATGACAGTGGTCCCTTAAGATTATAATGGCTATACCATATAGCCTAGGCGTGTAGTAGGCTATACCATCTAGGTTTGTTTAGGTGCACTCTATGAGGCTCACACAACAATGGCGCATTTCTCAGAATGTATACCTGCCGTTAAGCAATGTGTAAGTGTATAGTGTAACTCTTCCTATGTATAAATGTGTTTTAAGCTTGGTGAATTGGATATAGTTTTATATAAGTATTTAGCAGATCTGACTGGAAAATCTTCATAGTTAGTATGCGGTTTATAGTCCCCCATTGTAGGCCGCTCTCAAGGGCAGCAACAGGAGAAGAAGCAGTTTGACCTTTTGACTGATCTTGGCTCAGACATCTTTGCTGCTCCACCTCCTCAGTCAACAGCTACAGCCAATTTTGCCAACTTTGCACATTTCAACAGTCATGCAGGTAAGTGTGTTTTAACAGCTTTTGTCAGAGATATGTATAAGGTACTAAGCAATATCTATTCTTTATTAAACTTAAGTATTAGTAAACATGTTCTGTTCAACTTTGCACATTTCAACAGTCATGCAGGTAAGTGTGTTTTAACAGCTTTTGTCAGAGATATATATAAGGTACTAAGCAATATCTATTCTTTATTAAACTTAAGTATTAGTAAACATGTTCTGTTGAAGATGTTTGGTATCACCTATAACTGTTGAAGTGTAATATATAACCATGTAACTGTGGTGCTTTTTAGTCACAGAAGAGGTTATATTTAATGTCAAATACTGACTGACATGACCTCTTTACACAGGAAAAAATGAGGAAAGACTTTAATGTATTTTTTTACCCCTTTATTATGGAAAATTGCAAATATTCAAAAGTAACTACATAATATAACCTTATATACCAATCACTCATGGCTAATCTTATTTATCAGTCCATCCTCTCATGTTATTTTGGAGCAAATTTTAAGAATTATATAAGTTTATCCTTAAATATTTTATATATGTCTAAAAAACAGAAGAATAAAAGAAACATTTCCTTGTTAAACTTAACCATAGTAGTATTATCATTCCTTAAATAATAGTAATAATAATTTATTAGTCAGTATTCAAATTTTCATTCCAGTCCCAGTGAGTATACACACAGACACACACACACTACTTCAAAAAGTTCATGGAAAATAGGATTAAAAGATAATATGAATCCTCCCATGAACTTTTTGAAGTACCCATGTACATGTACATATATGCATAATGCCTACATACAGTTTGTTTGAATCAGGTTTCAGATAAGATCCACACATTGCATTCGTGAAATATGTCTCTTAGTCTGTAGATTCCTCCTCGATCCCTTTCTTTCTCCTTTGTAATTTGTTAAAGAAAGCAGTTTATTTGTCTGAGTTTTCAGTAGTCTTAGTTTGTTGATTGCATCACTGTGATGCCCTTTAACAAGTTCTTCTCTCCTCAGTATTTCTTGTAAATTTGTAGTTGGATCTAGAGACCTGATCCATCATAGATTTTTGTGTGTGTGTGTGTGTGTGTGTGTGTGTGTGTGTGTGGTGAGGGGTGGCTAGGGAACACACTTAGGGTCTAAGAGGCACATAATTTTGGATTCTTTCTCTTTTTGCAGTGTTAGCTATTGGTGCTCAATGCTTGGGTCCATTATGCAAAATGATATTTTAAATTTATCATTCCTTCATTTATCAGCTGAAATACTTCTGTAAAATCTTCGATTATTCAATGACATGGTTTTGTATAGGAAGGTAAAAATATATGATTGATTCTTAATCAAGTATCAGGATAACGAATTGATTCCCTAGCATTTTCTCCCATGCAAATACTAACCAGGCCTGACCCTGCTTAGCTTCCGAGATCAGACAAGATCAGGTGCATTCAGGGTGGTGTGGCCGTACGTGATTCCTTAGCATCTTTTAATGGTGACTTTTTTCTTGTTTAGTATCATTATGACTTCATAGATTTAAACATTTCCTACATCTCAATTTATTGTCATTATTATCCTTATGAATGCTCAAATTATACCATCTTTGGAGTAGGAACATCTTCAGATTGCATCCTGAATATAATTCTTTTTATGTAACTGGTAGTCTTTGAACAGTTCTCCCCCTCTCCCCCATTTCCAAATTTAACATGATAAAGAGTTTAATGCACTTCACTAGAAATTAGAAATTATTTGTTAACAAATAGACAAAACTTGCAGTTACCTAAAGTGTCAAAGTTCAAGTGAGATGATGTGTTTAAGGGGTTAGTATCTAGAAGGTACAATAGATATTGTTTTTATACATATTCCACACGTATTACATATATACACATACATACCTATATGTGTTTAACAAAAAGAATCATACTCTATATCAAGTTTTTATCCTATTTGAATCTTTGGATTTTAACTAAGGTTCTCCGAATGGTTTAGAGTCATTTCCTAACAGCTTGTTAATTTTTTGAGTCTTTATAGTTGTTTCTGTATTGGTCCTTCTACACTTTTACAGTGAACAGTTTAAAAGAATACATGGTATTTATATTGGGAAAATGTGTGGAATTGATGTTTAAAGCCAGTAAGCTTTGATGTTTGCATCTTAGGAAGTTTACCTATTGGCATTTGTGAGTGATTGAATAAGCATTAAACCAAATGTAGAATACTAATTTAGAAATTGAGTTAGTAGTTTTATTTGACCATTTGAGATCTTGCTTTATATTATTTTCACATGTGTGTAAGGGGTACTGGCTTATTTTTTGTCATGGATTTATATAACTTTAATTAGAAACAAAAAAATTCAAGACTTCTTTTTTCTAAAACATGTATTTCACAATTTTAAGAGCATAGCAGAAACCAGTGCTGATAGAATTGATTTCCTATTTGTATTTTAGCACCTATTTTGCCTTATTTTACTCACCTATGAGATTGTGATGGTATTACCTTTTCTTTTCTTTTTAATTTGATGACCTGGATTGTTGTTGGATAATGGTGGTATAAAGTATATCATATATATACACATCCCAAAATGTATGGTTTGGAATAGTTTGAAAAATTGTAGAAAAGCTTCTCTCTGGCCAGATTTCTTTCTAGCAAACATTAAAGTAACTTTTTGTTTTAAAATTTTAATGAAAGCATTTTCTAAGGACATGCTTCATGAGCAAATTGTGTATCATTTTTGTATTTTTGATGTATGTGTTTGCTTTAAAATGGGATGATGGGGATCTCTTTTTCAGGAGAAATTATATAGAGAAGGGTAAGAAATCAGGAAGCTTAAATTGTTGGGGCTGTGGTAGGTTTCCTTTCTCCTACGTTACCTGAGCTGCAAAAGACCAGAAAATCTGGAATTTCCTCTTTTCTCTTCACCCTCCAGGTAGGAAGCTAGTTCCCCTTCTGACCAGAAAAGAGCCCCAGCCCTTTGTTCCTACCTCTTGCATTTGAGTGCTGGCAAAAAGAGTTGGTGGGAGAGTCAATAAATATAGAGTGAAACTTCAGTAATTTATGAATATGTGCTAGTTTTATCTCCATTTTAGCTTACTGAAATATAATTTGAAATTATCAATAAGTAACTACCAAACTCTTTTGTAAATTTCCAACTATTTCCTCTTTCCTTTGCATCTTTAAATGCAATTTATGACTATTCATAGGCCAGGGAATTAATCTTGCACTTTTCTTTGTAGCCATGTTAGCCAGAAAATGGTCAGTCGAGTTGCTGCAGCTCCACAGACTGTTTTGTGCCATGCTTGTATTCATAATTTCAATAACTCCCTTAAAATGCTCTTTGAAAAAATTTGCTATTTAATTGTAGAAAATACAAAAAAAAAAAAAAAAGAAAAAGAAAAGGAAGGAAACCCATATTCTTATCAAATCGATCAAGGTGGTAGAACATAACTGTTTTCTCTCTTCTTACGTATCATGGAAATGGTAGGGTAGATGAGTGTGAGGAAATAGTTTTATAGCCATGTAGAATAGATCAGGTTGCCTTAATTGCAGTTGTCTTTTAGCCTGAAGTTGTTACTTATTTGTGAATGACTACTTAAATTTTTTTTTTTTTTTACTTTATTTGACTTAGTTTGTTTCTAGAAGAATAAAATGTATGCCTGTTGGAAGAAGCAGCTAAATTACTCATTTATTTTTCCTTCTAGTATAGTCGATGCCATCTTTTGATATTTTTGCCTTGGAGTAGTTTTTAGGTATAAATCAATATCATGTTTCAACTGAAATATCTTTTTCCAGAGCCTTTGCAAGCACTCTGAGTCTTTATTTTTTCATATACAGTTCACAAAGTCATTGATGGCTGAGTTCTACCCTGAAACTCTCATTTAAAAAAAAAAATATTGGATGAAAATTTTATCCTGAACAGTTTGATGTGACAGATGGAAACTTTAATAGCAAATGATAATCATTCAGATATGCCAGTCTAGTTAGCATTGTTCTTTAAGGAAACTCGTTTTTTGCATATACTTTAGTGGTTTAAAAGTCAGAAATCTTTACCTTTCATACGAACATTCTGGCTGAGGTGGTATGTGTGTATAAGCGTCAGTGAGTGGGATCATTATTGTTTTCAGAAAAACATGAATTTATAAACATAATTTACCTTCAGAACTTAATAGTTATTATGCCTGGTGATAAACATCATATCACAAAACCTATGAACTGGAAACTGGTTGGTTTTTGTCACACCTTATACTAGGCGTATCAAACTCAACTGCTTTGCATCCCAGTTAACACAATATTATAATGTGGTGCAGAAGGAACCATGGGCTCAGGATTATTAGATACATTGATTTTCTTTTAAGAAAAGCAAAAAATCTTGTTTAACGTGAAATTCCCTCTTTTTAAATGTTAGGAATTGATGAAAAAATGTTAATACTGTATAGGTGAAACAAACCATATGTAGCAGATGAATTTGCTGAGATTCTGCCAGTTTGCATCCTATAGTCTCTATTTATCTTCCCCTCTTATGAAGATCTATTTCTCATTGAAGAGGAAAGACAATTATCAGCAAGACTCAGGCTCATTAATTTGGTGTCTTGAATTCTAAACTGAGTTTATTCCTTTACACTTTTTGAAATAAGATTAAAAAGCATCTTTACTATTTTGTCACATTCTATTTAGTTTGGGTTTTTTTTGTGCAGAGGTTGCTTAAGAGTCCAGAAAATAAGGAATTTATATTGTTAAGCAATAAGGAGCCTTTTAATTTAGATACTTCTGTCTAGTGTTTGAGAGATAGGGAAAACTTCCAGTGTTTAGAAAAGGTTTTCAGGAACAAAGTATGAGCAGTGATATGTAAGGCAGTGAAAAGAAAGTGAGCCGAGATGCCAGGTACCTTTTAAGCTTTATTAAAGAAAGAAATCTGCCGGGTTGTACCCAAAATGGAGGACAGCCCGGGGCTGCCCTGAAAATGGTGGACAGCACCAGGCGTGGGGGTGGTAGAGCTTATATAGTGCTCCAAGGTCTGGCTGAAACCATCAAGGAGGGTCATAATGCTAACGTGGATCATGGATCGGGGTGGAGAACTGCATCCTTTTGGAAGCAAAAGTGGTTTCTGTTTAAGTCAGGAGGCTTCTCCTAAAGGGAAGGGGGAGGGAAGGAGGTGGGCGGCGCCATTTTGTATTTGGGCTCATCTAAAGTGGCACTGGTTATGTTGCAGATCTGTTAGGCAGCATCCCTCATTTCAGAACACAAGAAGTGGCAAAGGTACCTTGTAAGTGGGAGGCAACTTTTTAGGTACATTTTCTCCCTTATTGCAATAATACCCCTTCAGATATAGTCATCCCTTGGTATCCATGGGGGGTTGGTTTCAGGACTTTGTGTGTATACCGAAATCCAGAGATGCTCAAGTCCCTGATATAAAATAGTGTAGTATTTGCATATAACCTATGCACATCCTCCTGTTATGGAAGGAACTTGACAAGAAAGCTCCAGACACTCAGGGAGGTTGGAGAGTCAGATAGTTTATTACGCTAGTGGGACCCAAGCGAACTCGTGTTCTGAAATCCTGGGACCCTGGACACAAGTATGCAGGCCTTTTTATAGGCAAGTTAGGTGGGCTCTATAAGTTTTAGTTTAAGCATACATCTTAGGCAAGCAGCTGTTGGTTTCAACTTCTTCACACTCACGTGACTTGGGCAAGCAGGCAGGCAAGATTGCAGAAGCAGGAATACATGCAGTTGATTATTAACTGGGCTGAATTTTGGGGGCCCTGGTAGATGAGCACATTTAGTTACAGAGGCATTTCATAAGCTAGTCAGAATTTTAATTTTCTAATTTTCTCAACACTCCTGTATGCTACACGTCTTCTCTAGGTTACTTATAATACCTAATACAATGTAAATGCTATGTAAATAGTTAATATTGTTTAGAGAATAATGACAAGAAAAAAAAGTCTGTACATATTCAGTACAGACACAGTTTTTTTCCAAATATTTTTGATCAGCAGTTGGTTGAATCCACTGATGTGGAACCCATGGATACAGAGGGCTAACTATATACAAAATAGTAATTACATAAAATGTTCTAAGTTGTCCTGATTTTCTTCTTAGAATAATGTTTAATATGTTGCTTTGTTAGTAAAATAACTTTTTGTTTAGTAAGGTTTTTGGTTTATTTACAAATAGAATACATATTTATTGCAAAAGTTTAGCAAGCTCAGGCAAACATAAAGAAGAAAATGATACAGATTTGAAATCCCACTACTTATATTTAACTAAAATGGAGATTTTCTATGCATGCAGTACCATCTTTAGTTTAACAAAATTGGCAGATGAAAGTGAATCTAGAATTTATTAGCTTGTTCATCTTATTACTTTGTCATAAACATTTTAACGTAAAAAAGGGTTAAATATTCTTTTACATGATTATTTAATGGCTGTCTTATATTCTATCATATGGTGTTCCAGTATTTTTAATCAATCCTTTATTGATGGTCATTCAAATTTTTAATGTTTTCTCTCTTACAAAAAACACTTTGTGTAGCTTTTAGATACAGTCATACTCATTTGCAAGATTATTTCTTTACACCTACTTCCTAAAAGTAGAATTGCCTTCAAAATATGTAAAGTGGCTGCCTTTTACTCTATTCATGACATTTAACCTTTCTCTATCCCTTGGACATGCTTTTCTTTCTCGCCACTTAGCATTTCCTTTCTCACATACTAATGATTTCTTATTCTCACTATGTCCTCTATAAAATTCTTATCCAGCATCTGTTCCAACCTTTAAAAAAACCAAAAAACAAAAAACAACCAAACTTTTAGATTGTCTTATTTATTTATGTATTTAAAGTTTAGGGAAGCCTGGAATTTTGCTCTTAGGTTGAGAACCAGTTGGGAAGTACAACTTGGTCTTTTTCACTGAATGTGTGATACAATTATAATTTCTACTAGTTTTTATTGTTTCTTAAATTCTCATATATGAGTTTAAAATGGCAGGCTTCTAATACAATGTGAATATCTTCAATTTATTTGGTGAACATATCCTTGTTATACATTCAAGTTTTTAAATTTATTCTTAATGTTCGTGGTGTGACATATTTGTAAACTTAAAAAACCCCAAAGGTATAATTTATTAATGTAATTAAACCTTTTCTGTATCATTATTGTAGATACTTAGATTATTATTTATATGCACATAGCTGATTATCATTTTAAATTGGTGAATTTTCTAGAGTGTATTCTACATCTTTGTCTGCTTTACTGTAACTCATGTATTCAGTGCTGTCAATTCAGTCTCCTTTGTTAATGGAGTCACTTTCACAGTATTATTCCTGAGGTCATTCAGAGAGGGTCTTGTGTTCAAATTTATCATTGCATAAAATGTTTTTGGAACTTCCTGGACACTCTTTAGTAAAATTGTTGTAATTAGGTTAAATACTGGTAGGATGTGAAATCTAATTTCTAAATGAATTCTCTTTAAAGTGAGTTATGATACATAGAAACTTCATGTAAAATTTTAAAATTCATTTGTCATGTCTTTTCATTTATAGTTTTCACATTCATTAACATATTGTTCCTTGCCATTTACAGCTCAGAATTCTGCAAATGCAGATTTTGCAAACTTTGATGCATTTGGACAGTCTAGTGGTTCGAGTAATTTTGGAGGTTTCCCCACAGCAAGTCACACTCCTTTTCAACCCCAAACTACAGGTAGAGCTTCTCCAGAATTGTGCTTAAATGTTTACTTTAAAAAACAAAACTCTAGATGTAGTTCTGAAAAATTACTCTACACTTAAATTTTGTAACTACCTGATTTTTAAGTAGTTCTATAGTACAAAGCTCTGGGGAAACCTGAAATATCTTTATTTTTTTCTATGTTCATTTGTTTTTCTGAACTCTTTGGTATGTTGTCTAATTGATAACATCCATCCTTTTCCTTTTCCTGCATATGATTCTTCCTTAAATTTCCCATGAAGAGGCATTAAAGTACTGAAAGTTTTTTTAGATGCATGGAACTCATTGATTTAGGCTGGTATTATACCTATGAATAAAGGAAGCTAATTGATGGCTTCCATCAAACTAAACATTTAGGTAATTTTTAGGACAATAAGCTTGAGAAAAATTATTAAATGTTATTAGTCAAGAGTTGATTATTTAATGATTAATCAAACTTGGAAATAGTTTTCTGTGCAGGAATTGGCCTTTAAACATTGAGTAGTCTCCCATAAACTGTACTGTTCTCAGAAACTCATTGAAACCCTTATTTAAATTTTTGGCTGATTATTTTCCTTTCTACTTTTAACTCTGTGTATTGTCTTAAAGCCTTTTCTTTCAATTTTCTTTTCTTTTCTTTTTTTTTTTTTTCTTTAACTGTCATCATTTACATAATTTCTGGCTGTCCAGCATTTAGAATGCTTTCATCTAGCTGCAGTTTTGGTGAATTTACTTCAGCTTTTCCTCTCCAGGCTACCCAAAGTAAGTTCTCTTGTCAAGTAGGCATCTTTTACTAATTAGTGTTTTGTGCTATATTTCATAGGTTTTTCTAATTATAGATTGTTAATCATTATTTAATGATAATCCTTTATAAATTCTCACCTTTACTCTCCCTTCTCTATTACTGAAATTCAGAATTAGAGAACACAATAACGTACAATAAAAGTTAGTTGGTTTAATAATTCAGTTTTTAATAATTTGAAATGAAATTCTTCATACAGATTTTGAAAGTTTAGTATGTACTTTCTTTGCCAGCTACTTGTAACAGATTATCATCTTTTTAATGCAAACATATATTACTTAGTTTTAAAGGAAAACAACAGAGTTTAATTTCTGAAAGAAAGTTTATCTATATTTTAGAATGTCTAATGAACTGATTGATAGAAAGTGTGTTTTTTAAATAGGGATGCAACCATTAAGATAACTGTAAGTGTACTTTGCTATCACTTTAATATATAAATGTATATATGTACTATTTTGATTGCTGAAAGTAAGATTTGGAAATAAAGAACTAATATCTCACAAGTGTAGGATCAAAAGCATAGAATGAAATATACTGGCATTAGTCTTTTGGTAGTACTTTAGGGAGGTCTCTGTAGTAGAGAACAAGCTTGAAAGACTTAGTAGTATATATACTATAGTGACCATCAGGTGAATTGTGCTTTATAAAGTCAAAAATTGCTGTAATATGTATTATAATTATATGACAAACTATATAGTAGGGCATGATTTTAATTTGGACATCATAGTATTGTATGTATATGGAATTAAATAATAGCTCCTCAAGTGAAATAAGTCCAAGAAATTCAGTATCAAAATAGTACATCCTAAACATCGTTAATACCTACCCCTGGGATTTGTTTTTTTTGTAGAAATGGAGCTACAAAAGCTTGAATCCTTCAAGAAGGATACTTCGCATCTTGTTTGCAGGGTCTGTTTAGGGTGAAGTAAAATAGTAAAAGGTCATAGTATACAGTTGAGTGTTCTGTGAAGTAATTGAGTCTCAAATCAGGTAGCATGGAGTTACTGTCCCATAAATTATATTCTTCACTCCAGGATATATAGTTAAATATGGAAACATGTAACCTTACATGTTGCCAGTGCCTTTGAAAATCTGGTTTTAAAAATTATAAAGTAATGTGTAGATGATTAAAGTTGAAGGTCATTTGCCAGTCACTGATTTTAAGAGTGTAGGATTGCTTATAGGATGCTTAATTTAGGAAGAAGTGATCCAATAATCCACCAAATGATTTTGGGAAAAGTTTGGAAATTTCAAGTGTTCTGTTTATTCTGTTGCAGGTGGAAGTGCTGGATCAGTAAATGCTAATTTTGCTCATTTTGATAACTTCCCCAAATCCTCCAGTGCTGATTTTGGAACCTTCAATACTTCCCAGAGTCATCAAACAGCATCAGCTGTTAGTAAAGTTTCAACAAACAAAGCTGGTTTACAGACAGCAGACAAATATGCAGCACTTGCTAATTTAGACAATATCTTCAGTGCTGGGCAAGGTATCAAACTTTAAACAGAAATAAATTTGTATCTTAAACAGTGCTCTAAATTTGGTTGTTTTTATTAAAATCTGAAGATATTATGCTTTTCTCTGTTGTATAGAAATTTTGTCTACATACACCAAACACTGAGTAAAATGTTCACTTGGCACATTGTGGATGAGAAATATCAACTACAAAACTTAACACATAGAAACTAATTTTCAAACTCCTAGTTTTAAAATAAAATAATAGATAATTTTATTTTTTCTAGAAAGCATTCTTTACTGGTGTTTTCTATAATGTATCCATTTTGAGCTATTTTCTGTTAACATCTTGGTGTTTGTTTTTTTAAATCCATGATTTTTATAGTACATTTTTATAGCCAGTTTTGGTCTTAAGGACCAGTATTTTGCCTCTAAAAATGCATCATTTGATGCTGAACAGCAGGAGTTTAATGCTAGACTGGATTCTGCATCCTGATCTCTAAGCCTGTTTTTCCTCATCTCCAAAATGACAGTGATGATAGTATTGAACTCATGGAGTTGTGGTCCATGTATTATTGCATGTAAAGCATTTAGAACAGTGCCTAGCACATAGTAAATGCTCAGTAAATGTTTCCTATTATTACTATCTCTAATTTTTTCATAGAGAACCCTGGGAAAATGATAATATTAGTAGATTGTTTCATTAAGTCTAGCATTTTATGAATTTGTATTCACTTGAATGTGATCCACCTGTCTTGGAGATGTTGATGTAGCCCTTTGAGAATTTCTTCTTTATGCATAGCCTAGACATATTATTAGTACAGTCTTAGTTTTTGTTACGGAAACAATATTTTGTCTTTACCACAGTGGTATGTATAGCAACTTAATCTTGTCCAATATTCAATATTGTTCATTATTTATTAGATTGACTCTAGAATCCTGTCCATTTTTTTGCTTAGCTCTAAGCCAGTTTTAAATTTACCTGTGTTTCATGGCAAATGTGGTTAATAAGTTAAAAGTATAACTTTAAATTTCTTGTGTAATTTGTGTTTGTTTTTTCCTAGGTGGTGATCAGGGGAGTGGCTTTGGGACCACAGGTAAAGCTCCTGTTGGTTCTATGGTTTCAATTCCCAGTCAGTCAAGTGCGTCTTCAGACAAGTATGCAGCCCTGGCAGAACTAGACAGCGTTTTCAGTTCTGCAGCCACCTCCAGTAATGTATATACTCCCACGAGTAATGCTAGCAGGTACCTTATCTTAGTCAGTGTTCCTGCTTTGTGTTTTACGTGGTTTTTTTTCTTTTTGTTTTTTTAACTCTAATCACAATGTGGTCAAATAATACTGTTTTAGGATATAATTTTAAAATTCTTGAATCTCATTTGATGAAAGTAAGTTTAATTTGCTAATTAAAATATCCTGGAGTAATTGGCATAATTTTATCTTCTGTTACTTTTTGTCCTTGAAAACTAAAATGTAGTAGTATGTATACATCTCAAAATGGACAGTTATATACAGATTAGAGTCAGTAGAGAAAATTATGTACTTTTAAGGTATAGTTTCATCATTAAAACTAAACAGTGAAAATACCATGTTTTAGCCTTACACATTTTTAATACACATTGTAAATACACATTTTTAGAAATGTTTGCACCAGAATCCAACATGAGTTCTATATCTCTTTAGTGTCATATTTATAAGTAGGCCTCTGCTACTGTGTTCACATATATCTGTTATAAAGGAATTCTTGGCAGCAGGAAGTCTAATACATTAGACTTTTAAAAAACTCTTCTAGTTTTGACTTCTTCATTTTACAGTTAAGGAAACACCCAGAATTACAGGTGATTTACCTGTACAATGTTTTGTTCATATCTTTGTTACCCATTCCTGTGGATTGTGTCAACTTCTTTATTTTGTTATTTTAGTAGTTTATATCACTTTAGCACCTTTTCTAGAGAGAAGTGTTAGGATTATGACATTAGCTACTTGGGCTACCCGATAATGTATTAGTCCCTTGGTATCCACAGAGGATTGGTTCCAGGAGGACCCCCCCCCCACCTGGTTTCCCTGAATATGCCCAAATCTGCCTATGCTCAAGTCCCACAGTCAGCCCTACAGACATGAAAAGTTGGCCTTCCGTATTGTGTGGGTTTTGCATCCCATAAACAGCTGTTCTCAATCTGCAGTTGGCTGAAAAATCCAAGTATAAGTGGACCAGTGCAGTTCAAATCTGTGTTGTTCAAGGTTCAATTATAGATTTTCTGTAGGCCAAATGGGAAAATTGAATCCAAGGAATAAAATTCAGAGTTATTTATATGTTTTGCTGTTTTAATATTGTCTGCATTAGACATATAATAGTGTACTGTAACAAGGTAGTCATAAAGTCTGGAAACAGGTTATACATAGCAAATGGTTTATTGATATTACATCAGTAGTTTGGAACATTTGGGGTACCTGGGACTCTTTCAGGTGGTCCGTGACGTTAAAACTTTTTTCATAATAATTCTGTGAGGTTGTCTCACTAATTCACATTTATATTGATGTTGTAGGATGAACCAGCCATTTATTTTATGGAACGCCATTTTTCCTTCAAAGTGTGACTAATAGACTAACTATGGTTATTCTGAATTCTCCCCTGAATCAGTCAGACATTTTCTCAAAAATGTACTAATTAAGTCTGTAACTAAAGAAAACAACTGATAAAATTCACGCTTTCAAGCAAATTTAGAATTTTGGAAAATCTGTGGACTTCATAATGAGGTTGACAGCTTCCCATTAATTTTCTGATGAGATGGTTAGTGATATTAATGTTAATTTTACATAAGGAAATGTGTCAACATTTGGAAGATTGGTATAACTAAGTAAACAAGTATTTTCCAAATGACCAACGCATGATATAAAATTTGTAAAAGATTCACTTAAAGCACAAGATAGACTAGTGAACTTTAATGGAGTACAAAGACTTCATTGATGTGGTTTCAAATTCCACATTGCAACTAACCTTTAGGAAACTGTCACTCTCATTTTTGGTAGGATATAAAAGAAAATATCCACAATTATCTGAAAAGTCTGTTAAAATACTTGCCTTTTGTTCAACTATGTATTTATTTGAGGCAACATTTTCTTCATATACTACCACCAAAAACAAATCACAACATATTGATCTTCTGGTAAGTTAGCTATTAAAAGAATTTGCAAAAATAGAAAAAATGCTCCTCTTCTCATTAAATTTCTCTTGATTTGAGAATATAGTTATTAATCATAAAAGTGCTATTTATATTTCATGTGATGGTTTATTTTTTTTAAATAAAATGTTTTTTAAAAATTCTTAATTTCAATTTCTGTATGATCCCATTACTGGCCAGCTGCCCCCGCTAAAATTATGATACAGATTGACAAGTATAGCACACATAAACAATTTGTTTATTATTGGGGTAAAAAATTCTTAATTTCAATTTCTGTATGATCCCATTACTGGCCAGCTGCCCCCCCCTAAAATTATGATACAGATTGACAAGTATAGCACACATAAACAATTTGTTTATTATTGGGGTCTTAATAATTTTTTAGAATGTAAGCATGTCCTGAGACTTAAAGTTTGAGAACTGCTGTGATACATGGTATGTTCAATATTATGTTCCCACATTTTATGGCTACTCTGTAGATAGATTAACCTTGCCTTTTTTTTTTTTTTTTTTTAAAACATGAACTCTTTTCAATATTTGTTTTCAGCAATGTTTTTGGAACAGTGCCAGTGGGTGCTTCTGCACAGACACAGCCTGCTTCTTCAAGTGTGCCTGCTCCATTTGGAGGTATGTGCTTTAGCCAAATATATATTGTATAGCATTTTAATAGGGGTCCTGGAAGACAGTCAAAGCAATGATTTATTATCAGAAATCTCAAGTTTTCTATCTTGAGAAATATTGTGAACAAGTATTTTTAAATCTTGAATGCAAAAGATATTAGGATTTTATAGTGTTTTTTATAATTTTTTAAAGCTACGCCTTCCACAAATCCATTTGTTGCTGCCGCTGGTCCTTCTGTGGCATCTTCTACAAATCCTTTTCAGACCAATGCCAGAGGAGCAACAGGTAAGAAATAAAGACAGATTAAGGAACAGTAAGCTTTTAGGAAGGTATTTATCACAAAGACACCATGTGAAGAATACCAGAGAATGGGGACTATTTTTTAATGAAGTGAATGGGAAGTGGATAAAAGTTTGTTTGTAAGGCCAAATACGAGCTGAAAGTTTATAAAATCCTGAAACTTAACAGTTGGAGAGGGAACTTAGAAATTATTTAGCATCTATCCTTCCCAGATAAGTTTTCATCTTTCAGGTAAGGAAGGCCAAATATGAAGACGAGACTTGCAATTTATGACTGAGGTATTGGTCTGGTTTCAGAATTACTGGCTATAACTCACTCAGTTTTAATAGAAAAATTTTATGAGTTTTTTTTTTCCTCCATGAGGTTGCATCCATTGCATAATGGACTTTTTTACATGAACTCTTTCTTAATAACTTGGTCTTTTTGTAATGCTTATCTTTTTCAGGGTGTTAACATTTTTTAAATTGTGGGAACCTGTTTCAACTTTGGGTATAATATTTGAATATTTTCTCTTTTCATAATTTTTTTTCTTCTCTTTATCTTCCCCCTTTTTCCTGTTTGGCTTAATACTACAAACCTTTCACACCTTTCTCCATGTTGTACCTCTTTGATTTTTGTCTTATTACCCTGAACACCCAGAGGCATTAGTTATCACCTCGGAATGTCAGCACATACATATGGTATGGCTGGGTATCCATTAAATAGAGAGTTTGTAAGCTTTGTTTTTGTGTATGTGTCCCAATAATTTTAGAACTGAAGCCTGAACTCCGGTTATAGCAAATGTTGGTCAGAAATCTTGAGAGTTGGTACTTGTAACATTACAATTAAATGAAACCGTGAAGAATTACTAATTATGAGTAAATCTCTGTCATTGGCAAGATTAAGAATTGTGATGTGTTTGAGCTGTACTATTTTCCTTTTCATATAAATGTCTTTAGTCATAATTTGTTGGTATTTAATATAATACGTGTTTAATAAATGCTTGAATTTCGCACCAGATTTAATTTTTAAAAAATGGTCTGTTTTAATTATATCTAATCAATGATTGCTCTAAATTTTTATTTGTACTCTTTCTTCATTAGATGTGATATTTGCAATGTTTCCATTTCTTAGCATATTATTTTGCCTTAGTGGAATGATTTTGTAATCATGACATGAAGAGTTTTTGCACATTGTATCATTTAATCTTCTCAATTAGTTCACCGAATAAATGTCTTAATCACTGTATGACAACTGAGGGAATCTGAGGCTCAGAAAAGTCAGGTGGATATGTTTCGAGTATAGCTCATCAAACATGTGTTCAAATCCTGATTTAGTATTTACTTGCTATGTTATATCTTGTTATTTTAGCGAATGGGGTAAGGATGATAGGGTAATGTACTGACATTTGTCGAGTGTTAAAGTAGTCTGCAAGATACTGTTGAGATGTTTATAGCTATTATAACCCCATTCGATAGCTGAGTAATGGAAACTCAAATTACACCTTGACTGAGGGTATTTGTGTTGACCTAACTTCTCTGAGCCTTACTGTTGTTCTTATCTATTGATTGTGAATAATATTATCTCGCTGGCAGGGTGGTTGTGAAATTAGAGGGTGTAGATCACCCTGTGTGGTCTTTGCATTACAGTATATACTTGATATTTCATGACTGTACCTCTCATGACTGTACCTCTAAGTTGGTTCTGTCATTGGAGTTAAGGGCTTTTTTTTGCTTATTTTATTTAAAGTATGAAGGTCTTTTAAATGTTAAGGTTCTACATAGGATATAAAATAATATAAAATATGCAATGTATATTCAGATGATATTTTAATATAAGCTTAAGCAAAATTTATTAGAAAGGTAAATCTATTGTATCCACAAATTCTTATTTCAAGGTAAAGTATTTTTTTCTATTATAAGGCATTTTGAATTTATCAGCTTTATTAGGTTATTGAATTCACTAGATCAAAGTAAATGTTAACTGCATGTGTCTATTAAAACTGAAATATAAACAATGCTTTGACAAATGCACTATGCTTAGGAATTTCCAATGTTTTATGTCATCAAAATTAATATTCTTGAGGGATTATTTTTTGTTGCCCTCAGATAGGTTAATATTGTGAAATTACATTTCGAGGTAGCTTTTGAAAGAGAGGGTATTGCATAAAAGTTCTACGTGAAATTTGAAAAGTCTTATCAGTGTAATTCATTCTTAAAATACACATTTTAATAATTACTTTTTCCTGGGTTTACAAAACTTTGAGGCTTTAACTTTCTTTTACCATATTACATAGGAACCTTCATTAGGAGATTAGCCTATATGGCCTAAGACCTTTTTAATTTTAGGATTCTATGATATTTAGCATTTTTCCCCCAGAACCCTTAAATCTAATAGAGTTAAATATTTTTCAGTTATTAGCAAAATCTCTTATAACTCCTAAGTCTCTCCTTTGCTACTGAATGAATAGCCTTTATTTTCTAGCATTTATATTAATGAATAAATAGTTTTAGAGACTTTTTTCCTTCCCCAGGAGATGAACTTAGAAATGTAGAGCTGAAAAATTTCTTAGATAGCATCTTCCCTAGCCCCCACATCCTTTTTTTTTTGTCTTTTTTTCCGTGTCCGGCAACGGATCGCAACCCTCAGTGTCGCCCCCATTTCTTAGATAGCATCTTCCCTAGCCCCCACATCCTTTTTTTTTTGTCTTTTTTTCCGTGTCCGGCAACGGATCACAACCCTCAGTGTCGCCCCTGTACCGGACCGGGACCGGCAACGGGATCGCAACCCTCGGTGTTGCTCCCACGCCTCGCTCAGCCAGTGAGCGGGAACTGGTCTGTATGTGGGATCCGAACCCTCGGCGGGAGCGCCGCCACACTTCCCAAGCAGCGCACTATCGCAGTGCGCCACCGGGCCGGCCCCCCCACATCCTTTTTTTATTACCTAGATGGAAACTGATTTGCAAAAATGCTAACGGATTTGCCTCACAGGTTCAAAATTAAGTAATGGCTAATCTGATATTAGTACCCACTTAACTAGTGCTATTTCCATTCTAGTACAATTGCCTCCATATTTATAATTTAGTTTTCATATTGATAAAACATACACGAATCAGCATTATGTACTTTTCTTTGTTTATATCCCAGTACTCAGTAGGCCCACCTCACCTGTCTAGTATACTCTGGAAATGACAATCAATACAAAAAAAGGAATGGGATTAGGTGAAGAAAAATCGTAAATAAAAAGTTACATTGGACTATGTAGGCCATATTTTTGTTTACTCACCTTATACTCTTTCATCTTCAATTTACTCATAAAATTTGAGTATCTCTTAACATTTAATAATCTGCAGTTGTTACTTTTAGCAGCCAAAGTTAAAATTGTCAATTCGGTAATAAAAAAAGAGACAGGAAAGTTGTAAAAATTAACACAACAAAAAAATTAAACTTTATATCAGTTTGGAGAAAACATTTGCAAATCATGTATGTGACAAAGGACTTGAATTCAGAATATGTAAATAACTCTTTCAACTCAGTAATAAAAAACCTAATTAAAAAATGGGCAGAAGATTTAAATAAACATTTCTCTGAGAAGGTGTAGACACAGATGGCAAATAAGCACAAGAAAAGATCTTCAACATTAGTCATTAGGGAAATGTAAATCAAAACCACCGTGAGATAGATACTACTTTACCCCTACTAGTATGGGTGTAATTTTTTTTAAAGAAAGGACACTCAACAAGCATTAATGAGGATGTGGAGAAATTAGAAACCTGATAAATTGTTTATAGGAATGTAAAATGGTGCGACCCTTTTGGAAAACAGTTTGGCAGTTCCTAAAAGTAGAATTACCATATGACCTAGCAATTCCATTATTAGGAATCCAAGAGGAATGAAAACATGCATCCACACAAAACTTGAACACAAGTGTTCATAGCAGCATTATTCATAATAGCCAAAAAGTGGAAATAACCCAAATGTCTAACTGATGAAACCATATATTAAATAGCCTTACAATGAAATCTTGTTTGATAATAAAACATAATGAAGTACTGATACATACTATAATATGAACGAACCTTGAAAACATGCTAAGAAGCTAGTCACACAAGGCCACATATTTATGGTTCCATTTGTATGAAATGTCCAGAATCGGCAAATAGAGACAAAAATTAGATTGTTGTGATGGTTGTACAACCCTGGGAATATATTTAAAGCTATAATATGAACGAACCTTGAAAACATGCTAAGTAAAAGAAGCTAGTCACACAAGGCCACATATTTATGGTTCCATTTGTATGAAATGTCCAGAATAGGCAAATAGAGACAAAAATTAGATTGTTGTGATGGTTGTACAACCCTGGGAATATATTTAAAAACCATGGAATTCTATACTTTAAATGGTATGTGAATTATATCTCATAAAGCTGTTTTTAAAAGTCTAAAAAAATTTTATAGCATTTTGGAACTAGAGCTTGGGTGAGGATATCTTTTTTACAGACTGAGATAACACTGGTTAATATTTAGTTTGTTGACTAAAGGTCAGTTTTTGCCAAAATGAATTTTGTTGAACATGTCTCCTGAGATGTTTTTAACAGTATTCCATGGAAAAGAGTTCTATGACTAAATACATATGGGAAATGCTGGGCTAAACACAATCTAACCAATATTATTAATGCAGTACATCTCAGAGCCTTTACAGTGCTCTAAGAATGGAAATAAATATAATGTGACCAAACTTGTTTATCACATAACCCTTCCTCCTCAATTAAGCTTTTGTTGAATGAGAACATAGTATTTAAAAAAAACTTTTTTCCCCTCCTTGGCTGCTGGCTGGTACAGGTATTGAACCCTGGATCTTGGTGTTATAAGCACCACACTCTAACCAGCTGAGTTAACTAGCCAGCCCAAAAAATATCTTTTTAAGTTAGCAAGAAAAATACATTTGTTGAATTGTTTACTATACAGCACTTTAATTAATTTGTTACATTTAATTTTCACAGCAGCTTTGAGAAGTAGGTACTATTACCCGTGTCCCTCCAGCCTCTATTTGCAGATGAGGAAACTGAGGCTTGTAGACATTGAGTAATATCATGCAGCTAGAAAGTGACAGAACTGAGACTTGGTATCAGAAGTGCACAATATCTTAATCACTGTTCCCTAAATTTGTGCTAATATTAAAAAGTATTATAGTTTAAAATGCATGGATATATATTTTAGAAATAATCCCACTCTAGATCACTAAAACAAAGAAAAGGTTCTAGTATTTAACACCTAATTTTGTTTTCTATTAATTACATATACTTATGTGTAACCTCTTTGTCCTCAAACATGCCAGGTGAGTAAGATCTGCACAAGATGGCATTTTTCTTTTCTGTCTTTTCAGCCATTATATTTTAAGCTATAAGTGTGTTGCTTACCTTTCTGATGAACTATATTTAGTATTTTCCTCTTGTAATAATTAGTTCACTTGAGTTGTCTTTATATATATATTTTTATTTAATGTGCAGAGTTGTAAATAAAACATCTAGCATTATTGTTCAGGTGCTTTCTCCAAAACTTGAAGTTTAAGATGCTACATGTAGATGTTAGATAATTTTAGACGATCCTATGAATAGTACTTTTGGGTGTAGCTCATGATGCCTACGAAGTCTTTTTTATGGATGTAGTTGTGTTTATTTTAAAAAATAGATTTCATTAGCGTTTCTTCATTTGGTGTTTATTATTCTAATCTCCCCTTTATTTTGAATAGTAAAAAATGTTATAGTGTCATGAATATGTGGTTGAAATAAAAAGGCTCATTTTGTGAATGTGTTTTTATTACATATTTTTATGCTACCAAAGTTCTAATTCTAGAAGTTTTTAATGAAACAAATTTACTTTTATTTTAGCAATAGTTATCCATAAATTAATTGACATTGGTCTCTTTATGGCTTTCCGTAAGGCCTTTCTGGAGCAATGCATTCTCAAGTGTTTCCTCACGCTCATTTTGGTAGGTGGCCACAACTAATATCTAGATTTGTGTGGCAGTTTGTTTACCTGCTTGTGGAAGCTTCTGCTAGTGCTCTGGGTCCCTGCATGTGGAATTAAGTTTTTTCCATGTTTTAAAATGGAGTGGGCATGGATGTGTGGCATTGAGATTACATTGTATTTAAAGTTACATGAAAATGTTTGGTAGAGATTTATGTTTTAATGCTGAAAAGCATTATTGCTTCCCTCCATGGTCACGCTAGAGTGTTAATAGTTGCTTTGATTCTTTTTCTTGAGTTTGAATTCATAGTACTTTGAGTGACACCTTCTTGATACACCAAACCATGTAACCCATTATTCCATGGAGTTTGGTTTTGCTTAACCGTTTCCAAGTTTTGCTTTTTAGTGCTTTCTTAAAGCAGTTTGTCAAAGTTATGTCAGTGCATTGTTGTCTGTCATGAAACCCTCCTGTTTTTCCTTGCAGTGTGCTTATTATTCTTTAATTCACTTGCTTCACAGTGGCCTGTTTTTCCTTCATTTCTCATTAATAATAAAAAAGTAATTTTAAAAATTTGATATTCTAGGGCTGAGCCCGTGGCGCACTTGGGAGAGTGCGGCGCTGGGAGTACAGTAGCACTCCCACCGCGGGTTCGGATCCTATATAGGGATGACCGGTGTGCTCACAGCGCTCACTGGCTGAGCGCGGTGTGGCCGGTCTCAAAAAAGACAAAAAAAAAAAAAAAAAAATTGATATTCTAATTAGGTTCTTTGGGCAGGATTGCTTTGTTAGGACTATGAGGATTACTTTGGGCAACACCTTTAACTTGTTTTTCAGGTCTTTTTTAAATGTAAGACATAATTTTATATGACATTTTGATACAGTTATTTAATTTCTGTGTCTTAAATCAATGATCAAGTTGGCAGATTTTTTACAATCAAGAAATTCAGTGTTTTCTTTCAGAGTTTTGATAGCAACATGCTAAGAATATTATTTTATGTAATTACTAATAGTCTGTATTTAAAGCAACATTGTTGACTCTTATTTCACTGAGACTTTCCTAGAACATATAATTGGATGGTTCTGTTTTTAATATTTAACAGCAGTAAATAATAACATACTGTCCTGCTACATGGGTCTATGTAATGTAAATTAGTTCATAAGTGATTAGTAAATGGGAAAATGATGGCAGCATACTACATATATAGCAGTGGTTCACACACAGATTTCCCTCAACATGTTAATGCTCTGTCCACCAAGTAATAGCAGCTAGACATGGCAAGCCGTGGAGGAGTACAGTAGTAGTGATCACAATGCCATTTACCCTGCATTCTTCATCTCTTCTAAGAATGCTTATTCCACTTCTTTTCCAGTCTTTGTGCATTTTACACTAATTTTTATAGCTCAGCAGTCCGAACCTTTCTTCAACCCTCTTCCAAAACTGTCTTCATTTACCTTTCCAAAGAGGATAGGAGTCTATGTATTTCTTCTGGAATTGATTTTATAGGAACTTTACATGTCCTTTTCATTGTGCTAATGTTTTTAGTAGAATCTTTTTTTTTCGGCTCTAGTTACAAAGCTGTATAGGTCCTGAGTGGGCTGCCTCTAACCCTGTTTGTCCTTATATCGTGTTATTTTTAGTGAACTGTTTTGCAGAGGTTTTTAAATTGTTTTTCAGGAACACATATATTACAATAAAGCAGATACTTCAGTTGCTAAAGTTAAAATATTGGTTGTTATTTTACCCTATAAAGCAAAACAAAACTAAAAAATGTATACTAATACGTGTGAACTGTATAATGATGGGCTTTAAAAAGTAGATTACTTTTTAGACTTGAACTTATAATTACTTTGAGAAGTTTCCTTGGAATTTTAAATGACAGCTCTAGTCATTTCATTCTGGTTGTTGGGTTTCAGGAGAACAAAATTTCATAGGTTATGTTAAACTGTATCACACTTAAGACTCATTAAATTTATTAGAATTTTTGAATTTAAAATGCCTTTAATGTACATCTTAATATTTTTCAAGGTAAATGGTTTTATTCTACAATATCAAGTATGAGAAACAAAAATACCCTTTTGTTTATAACCCTACTTTTCTCCTGTCAGCGGCAACCTTTGGCACTGCGTCCATGAGCATGCCTGCAGGGTTCGGCACTCCTGCTCCCTATAGTCTTCCCACCAGCTTTAGTGGCAGCTTCCAGCAGCCTGCCTTTCCAGCCCAAGCAGCTTTCCCTCAACAGACAGCTTTTTCTCAACAGCCCAATGGTAAGATCTAACATTTGGCTGACTTTAAGTCCACTTTAGGTATATTTTATGTATCATAATGTTATGTGTTTGGGTACAAAGACGTATCTAAAGAATGCAGTAGTATTATCTACTGAGTATTTGCTGCACAAAAATAGAAGCTTTTGGTGATTTGGGCCTCAGAAAACAGTGATTTTGTAAGATTTTGTGAGCGGATTACAGATTTAGGAGAAATCAGTGACTATCTAAAGAATACCCCTTGTTTCTCAAAACCTGCAGTATCTTTTCCTTATTAATTCATTTGTGTTCTAATGTGCCTCTTGTCTTTAAAAGGAAACTATAGACCCAGAGTGTTGTGGTTTTAATTTTTTCATTACAAAAACCTTGCTCGTGTGCCTGTTAATGTAAGGATGTATATTTGTGTTGTGTGTGTGTGTGAGAAGTAGACTAATTTTCTAAGTAGGTAAATCTACTATACTGCAGTTGGAGTTTGTTATTTGTTTTTAGGAAGAGATGAGAAAATTCACTCAACCATTTCTTTTTACTCATTTCTCTCATTTGTTAAAGTTTGAAGTCCATAGATTTGGAGATTATTCTTGAATTACAATTACATGTTTTCTTTTTAAAGTCAGTGGTTAGATCAGAATTCAGAAATACAGTCCATGGAAGAGCTATAAATGATAAAATATTTTCTAAGAAATACAGTGGTGTTCATTCACATAGAAACCATTGTGTTGTCCACACACAGCCCCTCCCAGATAGTCGTAAGCTTATCTATTATTTAAATCCTTTGAATGTCAGTGATTTACACAGCTGAGACAAGTTGGAATTAACCATTTCTTTTTTTTTTTTTTTTCCTTTTTGTCTTTTTTCGTGTCCGGCAACGGATCGCAACCCTCAGTGTTGCACTTGTACCAGACCGGGACCGGCAATGGGATCGCAACCCTCGGTGTTGCTCCCACACCTCGCTCAGCCAGTGAGCGGGAACCGGTCTGTATGTGGGATCCGAACCCTCGGCGGGAGCGCCACTGTAGCAGTGCGCCACCGGGCCGGCCCGGAATTAACCATTTCTGAAGAGCTGTGTGAAAGCTCTTTTAAGACATGCCACAGGAAGTTTGTCTCTGGAAAGAGCATGAGACCTGACAATTTAACCTTGATATTTTATTTCTGCTGCTTTGGTAGGAATTTATCTGAAACTTATTATGAGGCACCATAAGCATCAAATTGTCTCTTGAAAGGTGTAGGTTATAACAGATGGTTCTGTTTTAACAAGGCGCCGGTTTTGCAGCATTCGGACAAACAAAGCCAGTGGTAACCCCTTTTGGTCAAGTTGCAGCTGCTGGAGTATCTAGTAATCCTTTTATGGTGAGTGAAATTCAATTTTAAACACTTTATAAATTGTTGCATCTTATCTTCAAATTAGGAAGAGCTGGATGTGAATACTAGATGCCGTTTGTTGTTCTGCTGATAAGATTATACAAATTGAGGCAGAGCCATTGTGCATGATCCTTTTCTTTTTTTTTTTTTTGTCTTTTGTCTTTTTCCGTGTCCGGCAACGGATCGCAACCCTCAGTGTTGCCCCTGTACCGGACCGGGGACCGGCAACGGGATTGCAATCCTCGGTGCTGCTCCCGCGCCTCGCTCAGCCAGTGAGCGGGAACCGGTCCGTATGTGGGATCCGAACCCTCGGGCGGGAGCGCCGCTGTGCTTCCCAAGCGGCGCACCTATCCAGTGCGCCACCGGGCCGGCCCTGTGCATGATCCTTTTCTGACCTTTAAAAAAAAATTGATTGCAAATGAAAGCTTGACAGTAAATAAGCTGTTTTATAATGTGAAACTTGTCTGCTTTTTTGTCAAAACAGAATTTAGTGAAGAGTATGAAAAGGGATCTTACAGTGAGAGATTTCATTTGAATCACAGTGCTTTTTTTTTTAGATTTACTTAAATAAAATTTATTGTTTTTATATTTTGCATAGAGACCACTTTTATTCATCTGTTTATTTTGTCTTATGTTTTCCTTTAGACTGGTGCACCGACAGGACAATTTCCGACAGGAAGCTCATCAACCAATCCTTTCTTATAGCCTTATATAGACACTTTACTGGAACGGAACTTTTATTTGGTCACATTACATCTCTCCGCCTCTTGCACTGTTGTCTTGTTTCACTGATTTTAGCTTTAAACACAAGAGAAGTCTTTAAAAAGCCTGCATTGTGTATTAAACACCAGGTAATATGTGCAAAACAGAGGGCTCCAGTAACTTTTAACCTGTGAACTGGCAGAAAGAGGTAGCGGTATCATGTATATTAAAAATTGGCTAATATTAAGTTATTGCAGATACCACATTCATTATGCTGCAGTACTGTACATATTTTTCTTAGAAATTAGCTATTTGTGCATATCAGTATTTGTAACGTTAACACATTGTTATGTGAGAAATGTTACTGGGAAAATAGATCAGCCACTTTTAAGGTGCTGTCATATATCTTGGAATGAATGACCTAAATTTAACCATTGCTACTGGAAGGTTACAAAGTCAAAATTGGAAGGTTTTATTCATTCTTGAATTTTTCCTTTCTAAAGAGCTCTTCTATTTATACATGCCTAAATTCTTTAAAAATGTAGAGGGATACCTGTCTGCATAATAAAGCTGATCATGTTTTGCCACAGTTTGCAGGTGAAAAAAATAAATATTAGAAAATATGCTATTGTTTTTGTGTTCTTGCTGCAATGCCTTTACCAAAGTGGCCTTAAATATGAGTAGTGAATTGAGAACATCTTGAATTCTTAAAGACTTGTAGTGACTAACTTTTTATAAAAAGGCCATGTAGAATATTTATTAAAACTATAACTGCTGTATTCAAGAATATGTCAGTGGTAAAGCATTTAAATGTAGCTTGTCAGATTCACCGTAATCCTTCTAATTTCTTTGCAACTTCCTGATTTTGTGAAATTTGTATATATGAAGAATGTGCATGTATGTGTATTTACAAATTTTTAATGAATTCTCAGACTGCAAAGGCCTATTTTAACTATTGGTTTTTTTTTTTTTTAAAAGATATTGTCCTTGAATGTATTGGAAGCAGACATGCATTAACTGTGACATGATTGCACCTCAGTTTTTCTTTTTTTGGACAAACTGATATCTATAGGACAATTGTTTATGTTTGTTTTTGGGGGGATAGAAACTGGAACCCAATGTTACCTTAAAGTTATGGAATACTCTGTTTAAAAAGGCAGTGATGCTGAGTTTAGTTGTATCTTTTTGTTAATATTCAAATGAACTTGTTTAAATATTTATGTACAGTAATGCCTCATTCATCCATAGGTAATCTGGCTGTCTCATCAAACGGAACACAACTAAGAAACTTGGAATTGTTTTTTTTAAAATGCCTCTGAGCAACCCACATTAAGTCATAAAGTCTATGTTAGAGCTCATGCATTTGTTTTTATGTGATATTTTAATAATTTTGATTATTTTATTTCCTAGCCTGTAGCATATTAGCAGTTCAGAAGTGATGACTTGAAGGAGACTGAAAAGCTATGAAGAGTGTATACTGTTCACGACCATTTAGTGTAGGGACAGTCAACCCAACCTAGAGGACATCACTGTTTTTCATCATCTTCTGATAATTGTTCATTATCATGACTGTGTCATCAAGGAAAAGTGAAATTGCATACACAAATGTGTAATACATGTTTGGAAAGGTTTATCTTAAAAATAATTAAAATTTTTTTAAAAGCTTTGGTATTAAAAGAGGTGAACATCAGTTTCCTCTAACATTTTATTCATGTTGAATGCCTCTTGCAATGATGATTACATGAGTTGTTAATCATAGTATTTTAAAAATCTGTGCAGTGTTTGACTTGTTAAAACATTGCTGTCCATTGCACATTTAGCTGAAAGTGTGGTTTATCTGAATAATTTTCATAAGCCAAGAGGCTAGAAAATCTGCCCCCTTTCTGAGCAGAGTGCCTCTTCTCTTAGAATTGAATGAATGCTGCACAGGTCTAGGTGTGTGTTGGTGTGGACTTGAAATGTCTTTACATTTTGGGGGACTCCCTCAGCCTCTTTTTTCATGGAAGGAAAACTTAAGAAATTTCTTTAAATTTCTGTTTTAGGTTGTATCTGGTCCTAATCAATTCGTATGTACAGAGTTATATAACTGTAGGCCATTATGTAAATAACCTACCAGGTTTTCCATCTAAGAAGTAAATTAGCAATTGTTATTGAAATAATTTCAAAGACTATTTTTTTCTGGGTAAATCTTGAAGTTTGTAATTAAATGGTAACTCTTATTGACTGACTTTAAATGAGAGCTTATAAAATTGAAATGTTTAGTTTAAGAAGAGATCCAGCCTTAATGTGGATTTTCTCATGATCTTTACTGTTTATTGTTAAAAAATATTAACTTCTGTTAGAATTTTATTTTGTATTTGCTTCTAGCTTTATATGGACCATAGAATTGTCTTGAATACTAAAAAGGAGAAAATCCTCTTCGAAGTTGACAAGGCTAGAGACCTTCAAATTTCCTGGCTTACTGGTTGAATCAGATCTTCTTTCCTGTTCTATCTTTATTGAGGAAAGAAATTTGTCTTTTCTTTTAGGGTGGCATACTTTATTGATATAGTTTAAAGGTATATTTTATTCTTATTTTTTGAAATAGAGAGTATTTTATTCTCTATTTTTGTGAAAATAGAGGTTAGGTTATTATTTTCTTTCTTAAAATAATACCTTCTGTAAATTTAGAAAAGCATATCAACACTTCATCTGTAAGGTACTCCTGCCCCTTAGCACATACACTCTTTGTTACAGTTCTTGTAAATTGGCCAAATGGAGAGGGTAAACTGGCTGCTTGTACCAACAGTTCTGACATTTTACACCATAACTCTTAGAAATTATTGAAGTTCCCCAAAGAGATTTTGTTTATGTAACTTGTGTCAGCCTTTACTGTATTAAAAATTAATAGAGGTATTTTAAAAACGTATTTACTCATTTAAATATAACAATAATAAACTCCATACCTGTTAAAATAAGTAACATTTTTGATGAAAAATAACTGTTTTCCAAAACATAAACTAATGAGAGCAGGAACATTGTTCTATGTTTTGCACCTTTTTAATTGTCTGGCTTAATAAAAGCAGTGAGATCTCTTACTGCTTTTACATTGATTCTTTTCATATCACTCAGCATGTAAGCACTAGAAAACCCCACTGTGCATTTGTGAAATCAGAGTGAAAAAGGCGTATAACACCTTAGTAGTATTGTGAAAATAGTTTGACCTTGCATAGCCCTTCAATAGGGGCTTGGGGACTTTCAAAGGTCCCAGACCACACACTGAGAACCACTACACTTTAAATTTGTGTTTCTGGGTCAGTATTTACTTGTAGGGTAAACATACTACTCCCTGAACTTCTAAGTTTTTTGTTTGTTTGGTGGGAAAAACTGAAATTTCAGTTGAAATTGCAAACTTTTTAACATTGTTTAACTATTCCAGAGTAATAACAGTGGTGGTATTATGTGGTGTGGTTTTTTAAGCCCCCTCAATTTATCAGTTACCTGCTAAATGCTTTTCATGTACTATCTCATACAATCCCTGAAGGGGACCTTTGCTTTAAGGATGAAGGAAACGGCATAGAGAAGTTAAGTTAGTGACAGCTTTTGCTCTGGGGAACAAATAATTTATTGTTGAATTAAAATACTATCACATTTATGTGTAAATTCTTTTTTAATCTTTTGAAATTTCAAGGAAGTTACTTTCTATATCCTATATATCTAAAATAATTATTTAATTTGATTTCCTTTCATAATTTGATGAGATCAATACAGCTTATTCTATAGGGTTTTATTTAAACTTTAGAAGTAAATTAATTGGATAATTAGTGGAGAATGTTTTAAAATGAAGACACATCTGAAGTACCGTAATGACTCCAATTTTGTGAAGCGTTCATTCCACCTTTATTGATGTAGTTTATTCCCTGTATAATTTTGTAATTTACTTTTTAAAAGATGTCATTAAAATTCGTACTAAATTAACATACTGTATTGAATTTATCCTCATTAGTTAAATTCTTATTTGTATATTTTTAAACATGATGTCATTAATTAAACTTTTTATGTGGTTGTATTTGAACAAATGAGTATATGACCATGATGTTATCAGTGTTGTATTTTTGTTTAACAAACTGTCTCTCACCTAAGAAAGAGGGCCCTGTTTTGTAGTGTTTACTGATATTTGTGGTATAAATACTCTCACCATGGCTGATTTTACCTACCATTCTGATGTCGTTAAATGCAGTTTGAAAGAGACACACATCAGCTGCTCTCCCAAGCCTTTACAAGCTAGCTCCAGCACAGCACTGACATATAATTCTACAACTCATTCATTAAATTTATTGGTCATTTGATGATTGTATTCATTGCTTGAAGAGCCTTTTATTTTATATTGTTGATTTATTCAGCAAGCATTTGGACACTAGTTCATTTCTAGACGTATTCCAGGTACTGAGGTATTTAATCTGGAAAGACCCAAGCATTGTGAAACCTGGTTTTAAAAAGTCTGGTTATTGCGCTAGTGTAGGGATTGCACATTCATGGCTTACACTCTGAATTCTGTCTGTAGTTCTATTTTGCTTGGTCACCACAGTAGGACATGCCCTCTTAAGGTGGCCACTATGCTACCACTCCGAATTTCTTAGCCTCAAACATTCAAATGCCTTTCAAGGCCTTTGAGTTGGCACATCCTGAATAGATGGTAAAAGTCGGGAGTGGCTTTTCTTGGGTCACCTCTTATTCTGATTTTGGAGTCAGTCATGTAATATTTGAATTTATGATGGTGTTTTCTAGTGAAGACTTTTGCTAAGAATGTATACCTGATAATCTCTGTCTTTTTTGCTTATTTTATGCCAATGGATAAGCATTCAATGTATATTTAAAAGTATTTTTGAAATCTGTGCTTGTCCAACACAAAGGGCTATGTGTCTAAGAATGTATACCTGATAATCTCTGTCTTTTTTGCTTATTTTATGCCAATGGATAAGAATTCAATGTATATTTAAAAGTATTTTTGAAATCTGTGCTTGTCCAACACAAAGGGCTATGTGGTTTAATGAAAATAGAATGTTGTGATTCAGGCTTTTGTAGAGAGAAAAAGTAATATGGATAAAAATATTTTAATTGGTGATTAAAATGCACATTGATTAGTTTTTTGATTGGTTCTCTGAAATCTGAAGTAGATGTTATCTAATTTATAGTTTAAGCAGTGAGAATAAGATTTGAATTCTAAATTCTCAACGTTTCCTTTGAAATTAAAGGCAGCAAGGGATTGTAAACTAATCTTATAGTCAATGTTTCATTGAATGCTTTGGGTACAATCAGGTTTTTTAAAGACTTTTAAGTTTTTTTGTGTGCTATAAAATAATATATGCTTATGATTTTTAAAAATCATGCAGTTATGCAAAGGATATAAAAGTAAAGAAGTATGTCTTCCTCTGTGACTTTATTACCACACCCCAAAGGAATATAATTTCTTGTATTTTTGTTTAGTATTTCAGAAATGTTATCATTTATTTTCTCTCTATCTCTCTCTCCATATATACATATATATACACACACACACACACACACACACACACGCCTCTAGTGTCCTCCCTTATTTTAAATGTACAATTTTGTAACTTGGTTGTTTTTGTTAAACTTGGTTGTCTTTCCATATCACCACACCCAGCTCTAAGTCATTATTTTAATGGCTTCAGGACTCCATTATATGGATGTCTCTTTGGGAGAACATTTGTGTATAGATTTTTCTATTAAAATCATTACAATGAGAATATCCTTATGCATATGTTAAGATTACTCTTGAACCTGTGTGACTGTAAACTTTCAATAAAATAGATGTCATTTATTTTGAGGCTCACCAGCTGTTTAAGTATGATCTTGTGCTTCTAGTTAAGAAATTCTGTTTAAGGAAGAAGAAAAATAATCCATCAAGTTCTCACTATATTAACATATTTGAGGTAAGGGTTCAGATCCCCTTACTGGCCAGTGCCAAAAAACAAGAAAAATTCTATGCTTTTAAATTGAACCATTACATGAAGGCATTCAGTTAATTCATTGAAAGACTGTGCAAATTCGCATCTTTTTCCACCTTAATTTTTCCATTTTTCTTACCCATGACAATTGGAGTTTCTAAAATTGTGGTAGGGGTTAGAGCATGGTGCTGATAACACCAGTGTCAAAGGTTCGGATCCCTGGACCATCCAGCTGCCTCCCCCTCCCACCCTGCATAAAAATAAAAATAAAAGTGTGGTAAGAGACAATTTTGTTGGTATTTCATCTCTATTTACTTAGAATATACCTTATTTTAAAAAAAGAAAATACAGATTAACTATGGCAGAATCTCTTGGCACAAGCACACGTTTATTCATTATTCCTTCAAAATTAGCTTCCTTTGCTTTAGTGGAGTGATAACTCTGAAAGTTCTGATTGGTCGCAGATTAGAGTTCAGAAATTTCTTAATGTATTTACCATTAGTCAAGTAAAGAATTTGCTTCTTGGAAAAGTTTGTTTTTTAATGAGGAGTACTTGCCCTAATAGCTTATGAAAGTACTTTAAGGGCTGGCCCAGTGGCGCACTGGAGAGTGCGCCGCTTGAGAGCACGGCAGCACTCCTGCCGAGGGTTCGGATCCCATGTGGAGACCGGTTCCCGCTCACTGGCTGAGCGCGGTGCAGGCGCAACACCGAGGGTTGCGATCCCGTTGCCGGTCAGTAAAAAAAGACAAAAAGGAAAAAAAAAATAAAAAAAGGAAAGTACTTTAAGGCCGGGAGTAGGAAACAGGAGAACTTATTGGGAGGTTGAAAAGAGAGTAAGAAGCCCATCTAGTCAGCAGAATGTTTGGAAAATGTTAATATGCCAAGATTTTTGAAAACTGATTTTAGTGCAGGAAATGGTTTTAGGTATTGGATGAAAACTTACATGCTGATTGCAGTATTCACTTCTGAGATACATTGGTAAATAAATTTGGTTAAGTTCTTGTTCATTGTGAAATATTGTTGGAAGAATTTTTTTCAAAATAAAGACTTCTGAATATATGTACAAGTTAGGAATAACTTCTTTCCTTTAAATGAGTGTCACATAATATATACCAAGACACCTGGAATATTGGAAGAACTAATCTTTGTTCCTTTTGTCATTCACATGTATCTGTTAAAGCAGCTCATGCATCTACTTCCAGCTTAATTTTTTTGGTTGATTAATTGTACATTAATAATTGCTCTTGCCACTTTTTTTATCTACTTTTTAAATTACAAAACATCTTCATTTTTAAAAAAACAGGACACATTTGTTATTTAAACTCAATGACAGTTCTTTTTTTCTCCCCAAAGAGTGACTTTTTTCTTGAGCTGCATGTTGGTGTAGGTTGGTTTTAAGACAACATTGTTATGGGATTTTACCTGCCCTACTGTCTATAGAAAGGTAAATAGTGAACCACCCCAGTTCTTCACACCCCTAATTTTATTTCTCTGTAGTACTTACTATTCAGTACCATGCTCTAAGCTTAACCAGCCAGGCCTGTAGTATTATTTGTTACAGATTTGTCCTGATTGTTCTGTACCTTTTTGTTGTTTGCTTAAATTACTTTTATTAACTCAGAAGAAAATTTAGTTTCCTTAGAATCAATCAATGAGTATTTTTTCACCACCATCACCCCAGTTTGGGGGTTGGGGTCGAGAAGGGCCGAACTAATGTTTGGTTTAGCCTCTTATTTAAAGAGAACAGATTCAAATTTTTTATATCCATTTCTATTTTTTTCTTAAATGGCATGCTAACTACTTTTTACTGAACTCAAGGATTGGGGCTTTTGTGAAAAGTACTAAACCAGAGTAAAATTTCCTGTTACAGTCAAATTTTGCCATTAACTGACATTTGGGCAGGAAATTTAGATGCTTTCAGTTTCCCACCTTTAAAATGAGATCTCTCCAGGGCCGGCCCGGTGGCGCACTGCTATAGTGCGCTGCTTGGGGAGCGTGGCGGCGCTCCCGCCGAGGGTTTGGATCCCACATACAGACTGGTTCCCGCTCGCTGGCTGAGCGAGGCGCGGGAGCAACACCGAGGGTTG